GCTCCTTCTGTGCTCCCCTGCAAGCATGACGTGGCTGTAAGCTGACCATAGAAACTATCTTTTGAAGGGATAGGGCTGTCAGCCCACAGCAGCACAGTATGAGCAGGGCTAACAGGCATGAAGTCTTCAATTCCCATTGCATAAAACAACATCCTTTTTATGAGCAGATATTATTCAAGCCACAAGCCACACACGCATTTCCAACGCTATAAAACACATCTCTAGAACTGGTCAGGAAACAGCTGCTTTTTCCAATTTGTTTGTGTTTGTACAGTGGGGGACTCCATTTAATGTTTGTCACGGAATCCTCTGCTTTTCACGCTGACAGATCCCTCTTCCCCATTGCTCCAGCCCTGTCCTCATCCTGCCCTGTCCAGTGGTGCACATTCCAACCTCAAAACTTGCTCTGCTGGTACAAGGAATTGCCTTGGATGTATTTGTTCCAGCCAGCATCTTGCTTCCAGTGGTGCTTGCAAATGCTGCAAGAAAACACAACCTTTTCTACGTCACCTGCTGGGAGCTGGTGCTGCTCAGCTGTGCACGCCGGGTGCCTGCAGAGTGCTGGCTGCTGCAGCCTAAACCAATTCCAGGGCCAGCTGACAATGAAATGACAGGGATGATGGCGGGGAGGGCTCTTGCCTGTGCCTTGCCACTAATTGGTTTTCTGGTTCAGGGGCAGGGAAATTTGCCGGAGGATCGGACAGTGAAGATAAACTAACACAGGATAAACACAGATGGCGCAGCTGTTGCTTTATGCCTCTGCTGTTGGATATGGAGGTAGAAAAGTCTCCAGTTGCTGATGCTTTTTTTCTTGGGCACTTGGAGCATCCCAGCTGTACTGTTTTGGCTGGAGTGCTGTAAACAGTGCTGTGAATTTTTATCTAATAATCTTCTGTGAAATTAGTTAGATGTCACTTTTTTTTTCTGGTTTTTGCTCCCATGATCGAGTTACTGTCAGTGAATGGATTTTCACCCAGCCCTAAGCTCCAAGGTAAGCCTGATGCTGGTGGCAAACCCAGCCCTTCCAGGCTCTGCGGCAGAACTTGGGTGCTGAATGTCACAGCAGCCCGCCTGAGGGACAAACCTGTCAGTCTGCAGCTCGGAGGTTATCGTGGTGAACTCTCTGAGGTTTTCCAAATTCTGAGGACTTTCCCATGCTTCCTGACACCCTGATTAGGCTGATTGACTCTTGTTTCTTCTTCTTTTTTTTTTTTTTTTTTTTGTAACTCTGTAGAAGAGAAACATCGCCTCCATAACTCCATTTCCACAATGGCCCCTTCTATTTTCTAAAGCTAGCAATAAGCCAAAAAGAAATGGGAAGTTTGTGTGTACGTATTTTTGTGTGTGTGTGTTTGTGTGCACCTCTACATTTTGGAAAAGCACACCTCAAACCTGTGAGACAAATGTACAACTTCGACTGCATAGTCAGTATTGCCTGGGCAGCACCATAATGTCACATACTGACCTAATTCCTGTAACATGTACGATCCGTTCCATTTGCCAGAACAGACAAAGGGAATTTCTTCCTCTTCACTTGAGTTCATTATCTACAGTTTCACTTGTAATTGGTAAGTATGGGTTGATTTATATCAGCTGTGGGAATGGAGCCTTTCCCACTCTTAGTGTAGTTGCCTCAGGTATTTCACAATGTGAGTGGAAGGCAGCCATTTCTGTCAGTAGCCCTATGTTTTCTCTGAAAAATGACAGTAATTATAGCTGGAGGTGGAAATCAGGCTGGGAGACTTCTAACCTCCATTAGCTAATAAGAACATCTTAGCTCTTTACTCTGATTTATCCTAGGAACGGGCAACAGGGTTGTAATAGAGACTGTACTCCCATAAAGCCCATATATATGGTTTCTTTGTTAAACCACAGCATTAGTGATAGGCTGGTTCTAAATCTAAAACTGGTGCCCAAGTCTGCAACATGCTCTATGTTTTCCTTTGAGAAGTTGGACTTTTGGACTGCAGTATCGGGAATAAACACCTCTTTCTTCCTGTAGTGCAGAACTTCAAAAACAGTCAGAGAGTATTTGCAGTACTGCTGGAACCGTAATAACTTAAAGAAAATGAAAGGCTTTGGTAGAAAGAGATAACATCTTCACATATGTCAACTGGCATCACTGGAAAAAAGGGACAGTTTTCTGGCACAGAGCCTTTATTATGGAGCAAAAGAGACTCACAGCCTCTAGAATTATCAGTTTGTTTTCTCAGTCTCTCAGGTGCTGTAATAAAGATGATATCGCGCCTTACAAATGCCAGCTCTCTAGATAGGAATTGTCCCTCTGCACTTGAGATCCAGTCACAAGCATCACGCATCTTTCCCCTGACCATGGCAAACCATGACCTGAAATAAAGCTGTCTCACACCTGCTCTTCTTCATCCGCACCTCTGGGCTACTTCATAAACATGTAAGAGCATTCCTACAGCTAAATAAGAGCTCAGCAGCCTCAAGGCAGGCTCTACTCAGCACTGCTTGCTGCTAGGAAATGTCATTTCAAAATCTGGATCCTGGGGATCGCTTGGCACTTCTGCAGGATCAGCCCTTCTAACTTGTGTCTATTCTGGTTCCTGTAACCACCATTCCTTCCCCATATAATCTCCTGTTCTGATCATCTGACTTATATGCTCTGCTTTGACAAATCATCAAGGAAAAAACCACCCTGATTATTACATGTATGCATACATCCTCACAAGCAGGTGGTTCTGTTCTTCGAAACTATCTTTAAGATCTTCCCTTTTTCAGCTCTGCTCGTGATGTGGGACTCTCTTTCTCCATCTGCCACTAGATGGTATTGCTCCAGCAGCGCTTCCCAGCTGCTCTGCACCATCCCTGAGATGAAGCCTCTGGACACCAGCAAGTTCAGAGGGCTCAGTCTGCACAGCCTCCTTTCTCCATCCAGATTTTGAAATGCACTCCCTGCTTCACGTGGGCCCAAACATGCTGGCTTCTGCAGACACACAATGGTTTGTATTGTTGAGTTGCTTTTAATTTTGTGGTCAGACTGCAAGGTGATTCACAGGGAGCAGAGAGAGGGGCTGCAGCACAAATGAGGCTGAGAGAAAGGGAGCTGCTCCACGCTCTTGGGAACACGGGGCCAGAGTTAGGCTAACAGGCTTTCTCCCTGCTTTGCCATTTGCTGGAGCCCCTCACCATCAGGCAGTGTTCTCTGTGGAGCACCTTGCTAGGACCACATACCAGGAAGGACATCGCTCTGTATGTGCTCTGTGTTTTTACTCTTCAAGCATCCACCAATGACTGTCATGGAGGATCATGTGCTCGAATAAACCAATCTTTAGTTGCAGCTTCTTGCGCTCGCAGCACCATCTCTGCTTCAGGACAATTTTTTGTTTGCTCTATAGTCCAAAAGTCTCTGGTCTGCTAGCGATTTCAGAATACTCAGGGTATGAAAACTGAAGAGCTCAGGCAGGACCTAGTAAGTTCTTGATCTTTTAAAGGATTGAAAGAAAAAATGTAAACAAAAGGCAATTTTTTTCACAGCTACGAAAATTTTTGAATCATGCTGTATTTCCTTTAAGTGCTCATGAAAGAAAAGTAGTGAAACATGCACAAAATTATTCAGCAAAACTATTTTTCATCTAGCAAATGAGTGAATCTGTGTGCTGAGATATGAAGTAACTCAGTATTAAAAATAAATGACTTGGGCTATTAGGCCTTGAGTTACTTGCTGCCCTTTTATGATTGATAGCATCTCTGTGGTAAGTTTATGTGAAATCATTCTACTTCTATATTTCCTTGTTTTGTTGCTAAATTATCTTATGTTACTGTTGTTTCAGAGAAACAAACAGGAAAGTCAAAGTGGAAGTGGAAAGAACACAACGTATCCACTGATTAAATGCTTGTGGCACCTACATTCACATTTTTCAGTTGTCTGACATATCTTAACTGTGCACGGATGTTTTTGCCAAATCATTTTTGTTCAGTAGGAAATCTATAAACACATCCTGCTTCTGCATTTGAGCTGGACTTTGTCATCACTAGGGCTTGCTCAAACACTGCTGAGCAGCCTGAAGGGGCAAGGAACCTGGCTGCTGCTGCTTGCACAGGAGGACAGGAGGACAGCCTTGAGAAGAGGATGAAGCTGCTGTGCCAGGTCATGAACTGCGTGGCGCCGGGAGGAGGAGCAGCACCAGGCTGCAGAAATGAGGGCTGTGTGCAGGAAAACACAAGAAGAGTCACGTGTGGAGGTGCTGACTCACAGGATTCACATCTGGCTTGGCTGGGCAGTAAGACAGCAACATGGACTCACCATGAAAGGGACACGTATCCTATTGCTGCTGTGTACGAGACCAGATGAGATAGCAGCGTTCAACTAAACAGCTTCCACAAACTATTGTCTGGAGGCTGCAGCACTCTGCGTCGCTGCCAGAGCTGCTCAGTGAGCACCAACAACTCTGTACCCGCACACTGGGCTGCTGCTACAGCATGTCGTGACACCCATCTGCCGGAGGGCTGGATGTGCATCCCCTCCTTAGCAGGGGGGTAAACCAAGGAGCCTGGCTGCACCAGGCAGCTTGCGGGCTTTATGTGGGAAGGCCTGGCTGTGCTGCAGCACTGAGACCCACTGCTCCGTCTGCAGCACGTCTCGGTTACAGCAGGGGCCGTTTCCCTCTGGACATGACCAGAAGCTCCTCCTTTGGCAGCAGAAGGTATTCTTCTACAGCCTTTGGGCGACGAATTCATGTTTGAGGTCCGAAAGGACGCAAAGAGGACCTTCCAAAAAAATTCTGAGCAACTTTACTGCCGGGAGAGGAGGACACCTGGACGGCTCCTTCTCCACTGGTCGACCCCGCGCTTCCCGCTCGCTGTCCCCAGCAGCAGCTCGCTGTCTCCGTCACCGGGCCGCGCCCGCGGTTGCCAGGGAGACGGCGGCGCGAGACACCAGTTGTGGGCACGCGCGTAGCCCTCCGGCTGCCAGGCGGTGTGCGGTCAGATGACCGGAAGCGGCTGTAATGCGGTCAGGTGACCGGAAGCGCAGACAGTGCTGTCAGGTGACCGGAAGCGGCGGCAGCGCGGGGCGCTGAGGGGTGGTGATGGAGCGCTACGACAAAGCGGCGCTGAACGCGGCCTTCGCGCCCGAGTTTCGGCAGTAAGGCCCGGGACCGGACGGGACACTGGCGGGATGGTGGGGGCTGGGAGCCTGAACCGGGAGGGAGGCGTTCCCCGTGTTAGTGCCTCTGAGTTGGGGTAGCCGCCTCCGGGCGCGGCGTGCGGGAGGCCCCGGGCTCAGCGGGGCCGTGCTGCGTGCCCCTGGCAGGCCCTGGATAGCGGGGCGGGTGTGCGGCGAGGAGCTCCGTGGTACGGCGAGCGTTTGCTTCTCGTGCGTAGGGAGCAGCGAGCGTATGGCACTGTGAGGGACGTGTTTGTCGGTGCCTGGGGAGTAAGCTGCTGGTCGTACTGTCATACATCCACGGTTAGGGGCTGAGCAGGGAGCCTAAATAGAGAGTAGGTTCTCATTTGCATTGGAAAGGCATGGGGAAGCTTCAGTGTGTTTATTCTTTTCGCAGAGAGAAAACTTAGGCCAAACTGTAGTAAGGGAAAAGATTCTGAGCATCTCTTCTTTAAGCTGCTTGAATGTATGTCAGTGTAATGTGGCCTAATCAGCACAAGTGATGCTGGCTTTAGTGCAAAAGCTGTGTGGCTACAAATCTTTTCGTGACTCTTAGAGAGTGAGGGTTTGCTTGGTTTTTATTCCCACTTTTCCTGAGAAACATCGAGGGTAAAACATTTCAAGCAATGCATTTGCCCCAGATGCCTGGAACCTTTGCAGATGTCCAGGGGTTATAAAAATTGTGTGTCCCTGACTTGAATTGGCTTTGGTAGGGATTTGTGCTTCAAGGTCTGAAGGACACTTGTCATTGTTTATGGTGATCTTTGGAAGCCAGGAGGTGTTGGTTGGCTTACATGCTCATTCACTGCTGCATAAAATAATGGAGTCAGCGAAGCAGAGTGATTAAAAACTGGTAGAGGCACACACAGAGAAAGAAGCTCTGTGTGTTGTTTTGTGAATACAAAACCTGTTCTAGCAGGCAAAGTCCAGGGAGACCTTACCAACAACGCAGTCCCTCCTGATTCTCCTGTTCAAGGTCTTTTATGTTTAGGTCTGGGAAGAAAAAAAAAAAAGCTATGAATGCTGTTCTAGCTCCATGTTCTAATTACTGCTACGGTTACTCCAGTGTTTTTAGTGGAAACAGAAGTTATTTTAAACAGGGACTATACCTAAAAAAGGAACTTCATTTGCAGCTTCAAACTGTTAAGTCATTCTGTGTACTTCCCTCTGTGCCCCACGCTGTGGTACTTCTCATTTGCCTGGAATTGTAGTTACTTTTTTCCAAAGAAAATGGGGAACTTGGCAAGTTTTGATGTGAAATACCGTCATGTATGTCATGTGCATGTGTATCTAGCACTAGATATTTAATAACGTGAAAATAGCACACCTATGTTGTTAATATTAGCAAAACAGGAAGAGAACAGTTTAATACTGTTGCTCACCTTGCTGGTGAACTTTAACTGCCATTCCTGCATCTTTTGGAGTACTGTGGTTTGCTGTTCCAGTTAGCAAATGTGTGCTCAGCCTTTGGCACTTTTTTCCAGTGCCCTCAGTTCTTGAGAAGTAATTGGATTGCTTCTCCTGTTCAAGGCAGGCTCTTGTCCTGTGTCAGGCATGCATATTGTGACTTCCTTCTATCTGTAACTTTTCTTATTTATTTCAGAAATGAGGGTTCATTAACATCAACTTTAAGAACACTTCTATTCTTCACAGCTCTAATGATCACATTGCCAGTTGGGCTGTATTTTTCATCAAAGACTTATATATTTGAAGGTAATTCCATCTCTACCAATTAGCATTACTATTGCTAAAACAGGGAAATTTTTCTTTCCTCTTTAGAATGTCAGTTTATTTATACAAAGCTCTGTTATGTCTAACTTGTATACATATCCTGTGCATCTTTCCCTGCATTGTGGTCTGCAATTTCACACTCACTGTTGTTATAGAGTAGTTTATATGGTGTACAGGTGCAGTGTTCCCCTTACCTAAATTATATCTTAACACCACACTTCCTCAGAGCTCTATCAGGATTATCAGGGATGGGCTTCCTGCAGCTGTTGCCAATTAAATGTGTGTTCAGGATAGAGTAATGTTATTCAGTGGTATTTTTTCTGCATTTTAAATCATACCTGCCTTTATAAACATCAGCTGTTGAAGTCAGCTGCTTTTAAGAGCACTTTGTCAGTTTATAACTAAGTTGGAAGGTCTTCCAGGATGCTTCTCCTTTTGTGCTTACTGCTGTATGTAGTTCTCAAGGCTGAGAAATTTGCTAAATTACTTCCAAATTTATTTGTAGTGTACTGAATTGTTCTTTTTGCCAACGTGTAAACAGAGCCTTAACTTTGTTGTCATTTAATGGCAAAGCTGTCAGCATGGATGAGATTGGACTTGTTTGGAAGGATGCGTTATTGGTGTGTGAGCACTTGTCTTTTTTGTTACTCCTTGATGAGGAAAAATGATGTTTTGTCTTCTGATATTTGAATGCTTATTTCTTCTGAGAAGTAATATCTTGAGTGATGAGGAGTTGTTTTACAATCGAAGTTAAGAAGGTAGAAGTTCTTTAGATTAGTAATTATTTTTCCACCGATTTTTTCCTTGTACAGTGGCAAATAAGCAGTGCAGTTGTTTTCTCCCTCTATTTTCCTGCCCTGCAAAGGTTTATGCTTTGAAAAAAAGGATGATGAGGTTTATTTGATGCTGGAGGATAATAAAGAAAATGTGGGTGTTGTAGAACTCTGAATTGTGGTCTTCAAAAGCAGAGTGTTCAATCTTAAATGTTTTGTGGGGTTGCTTTATTCCAGAAACACTTTGAAGATCTGTAATTATTGCAGTTCATTCTTTCTGTGTATCTTCTTGAGCTCCAGCTTGAGATACAGCAGTATATTGAATTTTGGTCTTTTGGGGAGGGGGAAGCTATTTTCTGTTTCAGCATTCATGACTAATGTTCTTTCCTCCTTTTATCTTCTCAGGTACCTTAGGAATGTCCAACAGAGACAGCTATTTCTATGCTGCCATAGTTGCTGTGGTCACAGTTCATGTGGTGCTTGCAATGTTTGTGTATGTAGCATGGAGCGAAGGCAGTCGGCAGTGGCGGGAAGGCAAACAGGACTAAAATGAAAGCCATCATCATCTGATACCTACAGACTGTAAATATATTTTCTGCAAATGAAAAAGCATTCTTCAAAATGTGTAATAGATGTATGCAGAGATCAGGCTGATATTTCAACCCTGTTCAGTTATGATAAGACCTGTGCTTGTCTTGGATGTGTAGCAGTATTTTCTGTAATGCTGATGGAAGTTGTTTGTGGGTGTAATCAGCTTCTACTATGTTGAGCTGAGGAGGCATTCACATGAAACTGATTTCATGTTTCAAATGAAACACTTAAAAAAACAAATCACGTAGCTATTTTTGCAAATCTTAGTATTTCTTCTGACCTGCTCTGAGAATAACATTGGCCTGAAACAAGCATTATGTTTTAAATTAACTAAATTGCTGTTTAAAAAGTAATATACTTTACTTGCTGTCCAAACAAAATGGAAAAGACGAGATTTCTTTTCTGTGATTAGTCCAGATCTGCATTGTCTTAAGCTAATTCATCAGGTTCCTACAAGTAGAGCTTGCTTTGTTGGAAGAAGTGGAATAAAGGTATTGGCCCAAACTGGCAGCTCTTTATGGCAGTGGCTTTGTACCTGTAGCATCTGGAAGCTATCAGAAAAAGCTGCGGGTGATCTCTGAAAATCTCACTTAGGAGCATCCTCTGAAGTATTCTGACCTTCCTGTCAAAACCAAATGTTGCTTTCTGACTTCAGTAATTCGTTTTTCAGGACATCTCAGTTCAGTTACTCGTGTAGGATGAATAGGTTGTTTTAAGAGCAACAGGAGGTAAATGTGTTCAGTGACCTTGTCCTGCAGTTACAGTTTGAGTCCAAAATAATAGGCAAGCTTTGTCTCCTGTGAGGTGGAATTACTCCTTGGGGAGGTTGTGTAAGTTAAAAATTAGAACCTGTTCCTTAGGAGATCATGGGATGCCTTCCTAATGTGGAATATCCACCTTTCCTCATCTTCTATTGTGATTTTTGTTATGGTATAAAATTTAATTTCTATTTTCCTTTTCTGTTGTTTTGAGAGCATTTGTCTCATTAGTGCAGTGCTTGTCTTTCTGTTCTACTGTTAAATCTCAATGAAGCAAAAGAAATGGCGTAGTGGCACAATTTATGTCCTTGCTTCTGTGTTTGTACTTGATAATTGCTGAAGGATGCAAGTGCATTGCCTGTGGTGAACTACAGCAGTAACAGCTATAACCTGCACTAATGAGCAGTGGAGGAACAAGTGAGGTACAAGGGAGAAAACAAGCTGTAGCCGTCTGCAAATGTTGTCCTTTATGAAGCAGAACACAGTGATCACGTTATGGAAACTTTGCTTCTCTTCATGTGCATGAAACTGTACACTGTGGAATGATACAATATGTTGAGCTCTTTTTCTTCCTCAGCTCTGTCTGGACACTTTCCATAGTTACAACCATGGGGACACTGTTGTGTTGTAGAATAGCAGCCTAGACCTCATTTCTGTCTTGAGCTGATGTCCGCAATCTGTTCAGCATGTAGACAAAACTTCTCCCCTCAGTTCCAGCAGCGCACAGAACTTTTTCTAAAGCTGTTTGCTTTTAAGTTATTGTACTTCACGTCTTTCTGTTAATTTGAGCTTTTGGTTTGTTGTATTAGTTGAGTATTTTTTGAAGTGTTTTGCTTAATATAGGACTTGGAAAGATTTTGTTGCTACGTTGTCTTTTGTAAAACGTACCCAACAATGAAACAAATTAGGGATCCATGCCCAGTAGCGAGAGAAACGTGTTCCCAGAACTCATTCCTCTCCTCAGCCTGTGTGTGTGCAACAAGCACACTGTGTGCTGGGACATGGTCAAGCATCAGCAATGAAACCTACACTTACAGGAGAGTAAGGCTAATACAAATCGCTTTAACTGGTTATGGATGAGAAAAGTTAACATCTCATAGCACTGAAATACAAATGTAGTTTGTATTGCGGTGTGTTGGGTCCCTGTTCTCCAGTGTGTGCAGCATGCATGTTGTAGAACAAGTGCTTCACTTTGATAGGGAATACTCTGCAATACACGATGCACTAAATCAATGCGTGTGCTGAACATTTTGAATAATATCTTTAATAATGCTCAGGAATACTGCAGCTTACAAGACTCAGCTGTGGCATTATTCAGTAGCTGTGTTAACTGGTAATGGTGTATGGATGTGGAAGTGATTGTTGTGCTTTACTGTCTGGGTCTAGTGCTCTGTCTGTTTTACTTCACAGGGCACAATTCTTAGATGCTAGATTAATTTCCTAGGAACAATAAGGAAACAGGTTAATAACAAAAATCCGAGAGGCTTGATTTATGTATAGAAATGTCTCAGCAGCTGGACATAGGAAGGTCTTTTCTCTTTGAAGATTATGTTTTGGTCAAAATGTTCTCCCTGAGAAAAGAGAGAATTTGTGAGTTCCTGGACAGTAACAGTCAAACAGCCCCGCATTTTACCTTGCTTGGAAGTTGAAACAACCACTGAGGTAAGTGCTGCAGTGTGAGCAGTCAAGTGCTGGAGTTACACTGTGACTTGGGAGCTCAAAGAACAGAAACTAGTCGGAACAATCTGCATGGAATACTCTGCTGGGAGCTGCGCTGTGCCTTAAACTTGCCAAGCTTTATTATATTTCAAGAGCTTGATTGCAGCTTTTTTATTAAGTGTTTATAATCATGTCCCTGTTAGAGCCTAGGCTAACTTAACTGGTGACTCACGTTTTATTGTGTAATAATGATTGTGATCTGTTGTTCAAATATTGATTACTCCACAACTGTGATCAGTTTCCGTATTTTGTTGCATTGCTTTTATTTTCTATAAAAGAACAATGTAAAATTTGTAACGATGTGGTACTTTTAAAGTGATGCTCTAAGTTCATTATGTTACTGAGAATGGATTTGAAACAACTGCTGTTAAAAAAGACAAAACTGGGAGATGTGGCCTGCACAGTACGTGCATGTTTCTGTTTAGTGGTGATCCATCGTGTGTTTGTGTAGGTTTACTGTTAGTTTAGGTAAAACAAGTGATTGTAAGTGAATATTTTGAAACTGAAATTGTATCAGAAATTTAATCAAATGTTTCCTAAGATTATAAATGGTGGGGAATAGTGGAGGGAGGTGGGGTGGAATTGAGGACTGGAAAATCAGTAGCTTCTCAAAATTAGTTTAATTTTCTTTGCCTTTTATAATTTCCCTTTTGTGTGTGTGTGTGTGTCTGCAGAACACTGGTGGATATCCAGCCTGTCCAGTTTGCAGATGGCTGACTTTGGTTTATGGTTAACAATACCTGATTTAATTCATCTGTGAACAGCTGGCTGAGAAAGTGGTGCTGTTGATGATCATATTGCTAACAGGAATTGCCTGTCAGACTAACACACACACTTCAAGCAGTCTCTACAGTATATAGAAAGCAAAATACCACTTTTTTTTTTTTTCTGTATGAGGGGGGGCATAGTAATACACTGCTTAAACAACCTCCTGTGTAATTTGTTCTTTGTAACTATCAACCTGATAGAGATTTAAGGATGTGGTTTTGTCATGCCACATTAGCAGCATGACAAACTAGATGGCAGGCTTTTCTATTGGATTCCCATGGTGGGGGGAGTTGTGCTTGCTGAAAAATTATATTCTCAGTGGTTAGCAGAAAACATTTGTTCCTGCGATTGTGGTGTTTTTTAAAAAGCTGCAGTTATTGTAGTTAAATCAAGTACACTTAGGCTTTTCATGGCCCACACTATTGATGGGATGTACTCAGAGCCTGCAGATGGGTGTTGTTGGTAATGGCTCCGGTGAGTAAAGGACAGGGGCTCTAACATGGAGAAGAACTGAGCTATCTGTGTGTCATTGTGCAGGAACATCGTGTGGGTGTGATGGAAATTGAGGTAGGTTGTTGCCCATAGAGCAAGGGAAGGAAAGGGCCTGTGAGAGCCAGCGAGTGGCTTGGGGCAGGGTGAGGGCTGGGATGTGCTGGCACAGCTTGCTGCATGGGGACTTAGGCACCAGATGTTCTTGTTGAAGTGTTTATCCTGTTGTTCTCTGCAGAACCATTGATCTGAAATACTGAATGTAAATCATAATACAAAGCCAGTTCTGGTTTTAACTTTCAATTGAAGTTATTTGTAGGTTGACAGCTTTGCATCTCCTTTTGTTCAGCTTTCTGTTACACAAGGAGCATTGTTAGTAGCTCTGACTCATCTCTTAGGGTCGGGTCAAGCCCTTGGAGTGTAAATATTTCTTAAACACAGACTAACTGCCTTTACTGTTCCATTAGATCTGATCAACTCTTACTCTAAGGGAGACAAAAGCTGCTTGTTTAAAGTTCTCAGGAAACAGTGCTTGATATTTCCTGCAAGGGGAGGCTCAGTTGATTTTTAAAGGATACAAGGAAATGCTAAGGTAGGTTGGGGCTCCCACAGTGATTTTCGTGTTTGAAGGTGTATGCTGGAGTGTCAATTTCTGAGATGGTGGGATGTACCTTGAATTTCTTTGTTAGGAGGGATGAATTACAGTGCTGTGTAATACTGCTTATGAGTTATGGGTTAAGACAGAGTACAGAGGTAAACTATTGGGACTTCAGTGCCCTTTAAGATGGCATGAAAAAGTATGGGGAAGGGAAATGGGAATTTTGCTGGAAGGCAACTTTTTGGGGTTTCTAGTCTCCCAGTTTGTATTCTGAAAACAAGGGGCAGAACCCATGGTGTTCCCATTTCTAGAAGACAGGACTGTGGACTATGGACTGTGAAGCCTTGTGGTGGAGGACGGCTGAGGAGAAGAGCCTGAAAAGTGAAATAGCTCACTTGGTGACTGACTGGTGAGCGCCCAGGGCTGAGGATTTTTTGGTGTGGGTTTTCTCTTGTGTTTCAGACACTGTCTTTGTCCTGCAGGCTCCTGGCTGGCACGTCCTTGCTGTCATTGAGAACCTGTGGATGCCCAGTGTTTCTTGGAGCAATCAGCTGAATGCTGTCTGCTGTGAATTTAAAATAGCACTAACTCCTCATGGGCCTGGAAAAAAGCTGGCGGTGCTCAGGGTTGGCACGTGACACTGTACAGTGGTTTTAGTGCATGTAGCTCCATGGCTTAGATGCCTGATGCGTGTTATTAACTAAAACTCTTTAATTGAAGAGTGATTTATGAGTGAGCGTAACAGCAGTGAAAGCTAAGGAAAAAAAACTGCTGTGGGTGTGGGTACGTATTGCAGCACTACTGAGGAGCTGTTTAATAACTGCTGCTCTTTGTCCTCAAGATGCAGTTTGTCTCAACTTGTGTGCTTTCCTTCAGAAGTTTTCGTTACATGCTCAGTGCAGTGTTGTTTTTTTCCCTCCATGTAATGCATGCTCTCACCCAGAAATCCAAGCCAAAGGTGCTTCTGATGATTCGAGTGTTGCAACTGTTGTGATGTCTGCTGTGTGTTAGGTGCAGCTGTGTTTAAATGTGGGATGGCTGTAGCTGAGATGACGGTTCTGCTGCGTGCCCAGGGCTTGCTGCATGGCTATCAGATGTTGTGCTCTGTGTGTACTGCTTGCTTTCCTATTTAATGGTTCCAAACATGTTAAAAGTAATCTTGAGTAGCAGCTGTCTCACAGCTCCTGGTTTTACTAGCCACAAACTGGATCTTTTCTTGTTTTTTATGATTGAAATAAAATTATAATAGCTCCACTCATCACAGTAATAACTGATCTGTTATGCTAAGCCAATTCCTTTATATTTAGCCAGCATTGGTTCCCCCCCATTACACTTCTGCAAGCAGCAGGAAGTTCCTCACGCTTTGTTAGCACTTGTTACTCTTTACCTGCCCTAGCTGTTTGCTGCCCCCTGAAGCACTTGATGGGTATTTTCAATCCACAACATCTGTTGTGATGCCTGGCTAGGATCGCGTGGAGCTTGGCAGGGCATTGACAGAGCTTTCCAGCCTGTGTGTTTTCAGAATTGTTAGTGCTGGTGATTGTAAGGATTTTTCTGGTCATATCTCAAATCAGTGAACATAGGAATGTTATCATCTGATTTTTTGTGTAGTCTGATGTTTTCTTCACAGTCTGTGCAGGCAGCTGGAGTGCGTGCTTTCCTTCTTTATGGGTTCTGAGTATTCAGTGACATCTGTCTCAGTGGGTTTTTGTCTTTCTTTTTTCAGCTGGCTTTAGGCTTTGCTGGGCTTCTGTCTTGCACACCTTTTTCTGTCTGGTGCTTTCCTCCCAGCTCCTGAAATCTTCCAGCAGTAGGCTAGGTGAAGTTTGCACACTCCTGCAGGATCATGCTGCATTTTGCTTATTTCCATGATTCTTTGAATAGTATGAATGCTGTGTTTTTTGCCCTGCTTTGCTCTTCATCTCTTCATTTGCCCACAGAATTTTGCTAGGAAGAGTTCTGTGGTCAGGATGCAGAGTATGCATAGGGTGGTACCTGGAAGAAGGGCTGGTGTGAGGCTGGAAAAAAAAAAAAGGAACTGAGTAAAAGATCAAAGAATGAAACTAATCTATAGACCTATTTTTTCATGTGTGCCTTTGGGTATGTACGTGTCTTTATCTTGCTCTAAGCACTTGGTTTGGGGAGCTGCATTCAGGCATGACTAATCTGTGTTTGTCTCCCCCTTCAGCCTTTCACAAAACACTGTACCATTTGACATGTTTTATTTTCTGTATTTAAAGAACATTCTTTTATAATCCAGATGCTTTTTCATTTGACTAGA